ACAACCTGGGCTACCTCTCGTTAGCAGACACATAGGCTCCAGGGCCCTATCCTGAATTAAGGGAACGGTCCAAATTCCAGTGGTAATTCCCATCTGAAGAGGATTATGAGTCTGGCAAGTATCAGAGAGTTCATTAGAAGTAGATTACATAAATCCTACACATTTCACAAAGTGGGACATGGGAACCAAGTCTAGCAGTATAGACGCCAGTTAGATACCATAGGCACATTAAAAAGAAATACCAATTATGTAATCATTGTAATCATTAACATTAAGTGAAAATGTAGTAAACTAAGTACTATTTATTCTAAGCATTCTGTATTGACTCATTTAATCCTCATGTCAATCTGAAGAGATAGGTACTATTATTCCCTTCTCCCCGATTATTTTCCCCTATTATTTTCTTCCTTGTACAAGTAAGGAAACTGAGACAGAGTAAATTTGCTTGCCCAAGTCACATAGTAAGGGGTAGAGGCAGAAGTTCTTAACTGTTATGCTATACTGCCTCTGTACAGGAGAACAAAGAAAGGGAAGGAGGAGGGTTAAAAAAGAAAAAAATCTAGCATGCAAAATCCAGAAGCAAACGAAGCATAGCTCTCCCAAAAGAAGAAAATTTTCTCAGGTAGCTTTGCATGGTACTGTAATAATACAAATTCAATTAAACAAAACCTCAGAGATGAGATGATAATAAAATGAGAAGAAAAGGAAGATTTCAGAACTAAATAAATTAATGACATAATTTTGCAACATTAATAAATTAGAGCAAGAAATACACAGGTGTGGCTGAAAATCAAACCCCTTCTTTCTTTATCTTTATCTTTAAGATGGAGTCTCTCTATGTTGCCTAGGCTGGTCTCAAACTCCTGGGCTCAAGTGATCCTCCTATCTCAGCCTCCCAAGTAGCTGGGACTACAGGCGTGTACCACTGTGCCAGGCTGAAAATAAAATTTCTGGTGTAAAAGGAAAATTTATAATAATTATGAAATTGCAAAAATAACTAATATGATAGCAAATGAAGAAGATAAAATAAATATGAAGAACAATAATAAATATGCAAATTGTGAATTTAAAAATTAGTATTATCTGTCTTATAAGTGGAAAGTGAGAGTGTAATTCTTGGAAAGAAGAGAATTACTTTAAAATGATAGAATATATTTACTTAATTTTTTAAAAAATGTATGTGTAAATATGTTCATTATCAAAAAAATCTGAAAATACAGAAGAAAAAAAGCAAGTGAAACTCATTTAAATCTTGGGCATGGTGACTCATAATTGTAATCCCAGTACTTTAGGAGGCCAAGGCAGGAGGATCACTTGAGACTAGGAGTTCTAGACCAGGTTGGGCAATATAGTGAGACTTCATCTTTATTTATTTATTTATTTTTTACAAAGTATAATCCAAATCTCGCCACTTAAAGGTAACTACTATTAATAGGTTTCTGTATGTCTGTTATACACATTTCTTACCAAAAAATAAAAGTGGGATTATAGCTTTATCATTTTATAATCTTTTTTAAAATGCAACAATTTGTTGTGAACATCTTTGCCTATAAATAAATATACTTCTCTAGCATCATTTTTAATGACAACATAGTAATCCATTATGTGTATATAACATACACTATGCAGCTAGTCTCTAATGGGTGTGCATATTTTCACAATGTTTTTCTTTCCTTTTTTTGAGGCAGGATCTCTGTTGCTCAGGCTGGAGAGCAGTGCTGCTATCAGAGCTCACTGCAGCCTTGAACTCCTGGACTTCCTAAAGTGCTGGGATTACAGGCATGAGACACTGGGCCTGACCCTATTTTTACCGTTTTTGATGAATATTTTCAAATTACCTTTCAGAAAGGTATTTAGCAGCTAATCTATTTTGGTTGCCCACCACTCTACACTGTTCTCCATCTCCACTACCACCTCCTACTCATAGCAACCCCTCCCACGCAAACCACAAGGAAAGACACATGACCAATAATAAAAATACTCGGTAGGATTTATGCAGTATATTCTGCTTTTTAGGGATTGTTCTGTGTATTTCTACACAGAATGTAATCTTTACAATGTAATCCCTAGATTACAGATAAGGAAATGAAAACAGTAAAGGTCAGTAATTTCCCAAGGTCACACAGCTAGCTGGGATTTAAGTCCATTATGTCCGGCAACACAGAACACATGCCCTTTCCCAATCAGGGCTATACTGCCTCACCTCTGTTTCCCTGGCTACTGTGATTGACTCAGGGAAGAACCCTAGTTGGGTCAATCAGAATCTTTCTCCAGGATTTTCTGCTGCATCTAGTAGGGAACTCTTGCATTTTTGAAGTAATTAAACATTGTGCCTGAACATAAATGACCCCTGAGTGTTTTAGGAAGAATAAAGAAAGAAAAGTAGAGCTGAACTTTTTGATAGGGAGTAAAAGGAAGCCATGACAACCTCACTTGAATTCTTGGTCCAGTCCTGTTTAATGTCCATTCTACCCAATTATGTGAGCACAAAATCCTCCCCACCTACTTTACATATATATATATCTATCTAGTGAGAGAGAGAGAGATGAGTCATGCTATATTGACCTCAAGCGATCCTCCCACCTTGGCCTCCCAAAGTGTTAGGGATTACAGGTGTGAACCACCATGCCCAACCTCTACCTACATTTTTTTTTCTCTTAAGTTGGCTTGAATTCTATTTCTGTCACTTTGGATCACAAGACTAATACATGATAACTTAAATTCCCACCAACATGAGAGTTCCAGTTTTCCTGCATCTTTAGAAAATATTAAACATGTGAATTAACAGAGAGAAGAACACCAGAGATTAGAGAAAAGCAAGAATATGATTCCTGAAAGGTGCTTAATACATAACTTAACAAAACTAACTTTAATTGCCAGCAGTAGGATTTTTTAAACCTTTTTTTTTTTTTTGAGACAGATTATTGCTCTGTTGCCCAGGCTGGAGTGCACCGGCTCATTGCAAGCTCCGCCTCCCGGATTCACACCATTCTCCTGCCTAAGCCTCCCAAGTAGCTGGGATTACAGGCGCCCACCACCATGCCCGGCCAATTTTTTGTATTTTTAGTAGAGATAGGTTTCACCCTGTTAGCCAGGATGGTCTCGATCTCCTGACCTCATGATCCACCCACCTCGGCCTTCCAAAGTGCTGGGATTACAGACAGGAGCCACTGCACCCGGCCAGAAAAGGATTTTTAAAAATAAAAGTATAGACACAAGGTGAAAATTCTACAGAAAAATGTGTAACAGAGTTCTCAATGAATAGAAGAAAGCGGAGTTGAGGAATGGGTGAATTGCTTAATCTTTTGCCTGCTGAGTTCTCATTCCTGGTATAGCAGAAGGGAAAAAAAAGAGAGAACGTTTTTAAGAAAGAATTTCAGTAAGCAGCTTTCCGAAAACACTCATTTCTGTCACTGAAATTGCTAGAAATTCAAATATCCACAATACCTTTCCCTGTATTCTAGAAGAACACTTCCATATTCTCTGTGCAGAGGCTTTTGATTATAGTACCTGGATTTAAAGCGTCCATATAGAGAAAGCTCCAGGTTTGCACATACTGCTTTAATTAAACAATAATGGATTTTCAGTAAGTAGGTCTTTTGCTCTCTAAATCTAAAGAACTAAAGGTAGATAAAAGAAATATCTTTTGCTATAAGTGAAAAAGTAATTTTTGCTCTACTGTATGTATTTCTGGGGAGAAAAAAATCTCACCCTCAAGCTTATGTTCTTTAAAATGAAATATTTTGACCAAGCACAGTGGCCTATGCCTATAATCCCAGCAACTTGGGAGGGCAAGGCAGGATAGCTTGAGGCTAGGAGTTCAAGACCAGCCTGGGCAACATAGAGAGAGACCTCATCTCTATTTTTTAAAAAATGAAATGTTAAAATATATAATGGTATTTTTACATATTTTTAATTTTTTATTATAGATAATGCAGTCTGGTGTCTGACATATTACATTTGTTTGCTTAATATTTTTTCTAGAACAGTTTTTGTCTTGGAAAAAAGGAGGGAAAACATTTTGAAGATTTATTTTAGAAAAGTAATGGAAGCTGGGTGCGGTGGCTCATACCTGTAATCCCAGCACTTTGGGAGGCCAAGGTGGGTGGATCACCTGAGGTCAGGAGTTTAAGAGCAGCCTAGCCAACGTGGTGAAACTCCATCTCTACTAAAAATACAAAAATTAGCAGGGCATAGTGGCAGGCACTTGTAATCCCAGTTACTCGGGAGGCTAAGGCAGGAGAAATGCTTGAATCTGGGAGGCAGAGGTTGCAGTGAGCCGAGATCGCACCATTCCACTCCAACCTGGACAATAAGAGTGAAAGTCTGTCTCAAAAAAGAAAAGAAAAGAAAAGAAAAGAAGTAGTGGAAACTAGCCACTATATTAGCAGGGTTGGATGACTAAGGAAATGGTATTTTACTAATGTAGTAAGATAGGGAAAAAATAGTAGGATAAGCCATTTTGGGTAGGTAAGGCTAAGACTAATTTTAGCATTAGAATCTGAAGTAATCATGGGGCATCTATTACAGAAGATAGTTGGACAGATGGGATTGGGACTCAGGAATGCTGTCAGAGCAGGTAATACAAAACCAAGAGTTATCTTTTGTCAATAGTTTAGCCTCAGGAATGGAGGAGATTTCCAAGGTAGAAGGTGAAGAAAGTGGAGTAGAGAACTAAGAACTAAAGCTTAGTGACTACGCGATATTAGTAGTCGAGGGATCAACTCTTCTAATGCAGTCAGGTGGATGGGAGAGGCATTGAGGAACAATGGTTTTAGGAAGGGCCTGGTGGGGAAAAAAGGTTGCTGCTCAGAGAGTAAAAAGAATTGAAGTCTAAGAGAACATCGGATTTAGGATTTTAGAAAGTCATTAGTGACTGTCAGAAATGTACTTTGGTAAAGTGGGGGTTATCAATGTTAGATTAGATGATGAAGACATTAGGAGACCTTCATTGTGTAAATTGTCTTTGCCCTTTTACTTACTTATTGTCCTTTTCTCAGGCAGGATCCTGAAGTAGGAAATCTATGAAAAAAATGACAAGACTCTGAAGAATTAACTCGCCAGGAGGGACTCAATTGGAGGCTTGAATCTGACATGGAGACTGAGAACCCTTGAATAGATGAAGACAGTATCTTTTTTTTTTTTCCTTCAATCTTTTTTTTTTAAATCTATTTGTTTGGTTGCTTTTTGGGGACTAAGAAATTTTTAAACTGCCCTGATATCTACAAGGCTGTCACAGGGAAAGGTGACGACTGGAGAATACCTACACTACAATAGATAAAAAGGCGGTGGCTTCCTAGGCTGCAGAGAACAAGTCCTTTCTAGCAGTGGCTCAGGACCACTGTTTTGAAAAGTGTAATTAATTTGCTTCTCTGACCTTGATTGCTACCTTTAAAAGAAGCTTTAAAGCCTACTTGGTCTCCTAAACTTGCCAAGCCCTCTGCCTGGGTCTAGTCAGCAATCTTGCTCTGCCCAGACCTCTTACTGTCTGACCACAGGGCTTAGCTAACCCCATTTGTGTCACACCCCACTGCTATGCCTCCTTTGGAAAGGCCTATTTAAGAAGTAGCTCTCTATATAAATGGAAGGACATTAAAGACTCTTAATGGAGTAAACACCCAAGAGATAAGGAATCAAGGTGGAGGGGTTGGTCTTGGACATGGTAAATGTAGAGATAGAGACTATCTAGACAGAAAGGTTAAACTTATAAGTCTTCATTCTACAAAGTATGATGCAAATTCCTTTTAAAGAGGAACTGTGAATTGTATAGTATGTGAATTATCTTTCAATAAAGCTATTTTTAAAAAGCAGAGAATGTAAGAGATGGAATAGGATTAGAAAAGTATTGAGTTTAAAAATCACATTCATATTACGATGGCAATTCCTGGTTATGGGTCTCTTTAATGATGTTTCTATACAGAGTGAATGTAGTAGTCTGTATGTTTCTCTCTTCCTTTTTAATTGAAATATTAGATTGCTCCAAAGGTTTCCATATACTGTTCAACTTCCTAGCAGTCATTCCAGAAAAGGAACAAATGAAGCATTAACCATATGTTTACTAATCAACAAATGCAAATGTGATGGCTATACTAAATATTCTAATGCATAAATAATATTTATATTGTATGTGTTAGGCTGTACATAACAGACAAGGCAACTAGCAGTGGCTTAAATAAAAAATATTTATTATTAAATAAATATTAGAATATGTTATTAAATATATACTTTATGAATATTTATTATTAGGCTGTGGCATGTGCCCATATTCCCAGCTGTGTATGCCAGAGGAGGCTGAGGCAGGAGGATCCCTTGAGCCCAGGACAGGAGTTTATGGCCAGCCTGGGCAACACAGCAAGACCCCGTCTCTGAAAAATTAAAAATAAAGACATACAATTGAGTCATACAACAATGATAGTTCCAGAATTGTTCAGCAGCAAAGTGTAGGCTTTCCCCTGATGGGCACACATTGGCTATAGAAGCACCAAATGTTTTGTTCTCACCAGACAACACACAGAAAAGCAGGAATGTGGGGAAGGAAAAAGGCATACTTCTCACTTTCTACTTTTCTTTTATCAGGAAGAAAAATCTTTCTAGAAAGCTACCAAGCAAACTTCCTATTATATATCAATGGCCAGAAGCGGGCCACATTGCAAACCCCTAGTTTCAGGGGTGGCTGGGGAAGTGAAAATCAGCGTTTTTAGCCTTAGAAAAAGAAATGCATGGGCTGGGTGCAGTGGCTCAAGCCTGTAATCCCAGCACTTTGGGAGGCCTAGGCAGGTGGATCACGAGGTCAGGAGATTGAGATCATGGTGAAACCCCATCTCTACTAAAAAAATACAAAAAAGTAGCTGGGCGTGGTGACGTGTGCCTGTAGTCCCAGCTACTCGGGAGGCTGAGGCAGGAGAATGGCGTGAACCTGGGAGGCGGAGCTTGCAGTGATCACACCACTGCACTCCAGCCTGGGCCACAGAGCAAGACTCCATCTCAGAAAGGAAGGAAAAAAAAAAAAAAAAAAGGAGTGCATGAAAGGAGGGGCTGGAAATGGCTGTTGGGTAGGCAACCAAACTGTCTGCTGTATAATTCACTGGGAAAAAGGATAATAAAACCAAGAAATATTTGCTTGAGGAACCTCAGATATAGCAGATTTCATTTAAACTCACAAAGCTCAGAAGCTGAGGGCAACGATTTGAGATTTGAGTAGCACACTTGAATAGCAAGCAAAACTTCAAAAACCAAAACATGAACCTGGTTATGAAAATAAATCTGATTAAGGTAGCTCTGTGTTTTGGTTTCTACTGAGTTTGGGAGGACTGCAGATTTTTTGTAGTAGTGGCTAACTCTTCCTGGAATTCTCCCAGATGCTCAGGAGGCCAAGATATCTGCATCTGAAACAAATTAGCTTACAATGTTTCTTTTTTTTTTTTTTTTTTTTTGTCTTTTTGAGACGGAATCTCACCCTGTTGCCCAGGCTGGAGTGTAGTGGTGCGATCTCAGCTCACTACAACCTCTGCCTCCCTGGTTCAAGCAATTCTCCTGCCTCAACCTCCCGAGTAGCTGAGATTACAGGCATATGCCACCAAGCCTGGCTAATTTTGTATTTTTAGTAGAGATAGGGTTTCTCCATGTTGGTCAGGCTGGTCTCGAACTCCCAACCTCAGGTGATCTGCCCGCCTCGGCCTCCCAAAGTGCTGGGTTTACAGTCGTGAGCCACCATACCCAGCCTCATTCCCCGTAGTAATCTGCCTTTTGTCAGTTTAATTGAAAGGCCCTAAAACTATGCTATCAGGGATAATTTCTGTAGATCATTACTATAGATCATTACTAGGGATAATTTCTATAGATCATTACTAGAGATCATTACTAATTTATATAGATTAGTATGCTATCAGGGATAATTTCTATAGATCACTTCTGGAAATCATTACTATAGAAATGATCGTTTCTATACATCATTAGTAGAGATCATTACTAATTTATATAGATCATTAATATGCTATCAGGGATAATTTCTATAGATCATTTCTGGAAATCATTACTATAGAAATGATCATTTCTGTACATCATTACTAGTGATCATTACTATAGCTCATTACTAATTGAAAGGCCCTAAAACTATACTACCAGGGATAATTTCTATAGATCATTACTAGAGAAGCTTCTCTGTACGTGTAGAGCACAAGTAAAAACAAAAACAAAAAAAAAGAAAGGTCCCCATTGATGTACCTAAGAGGGTACTGCATCCGTCTTGTGTCTCTTTTATAAAGGCACTAATGGCCGGGCGCAGTGGCTCACACCTGTAATCCCAGCACTTTGGGAGGCTGAAGTGGGTGGATCACCTGAGGTCAGGGGTTGGAGACCAGCCTGGCTAACATGGTGAAACCCCATCTCTGCTAAAAATACAAAAAGAAATAGCCAGGTGTGGTGGCAGGCACCTGTAATCCCAGCTACTCAGGTGACTGAGGCAGGAGAATCACTTGAACCTGGGAGGCAGAGATTGCAGTGAACTGAGATGGTGCCATTGCATTCCAGCCTGGGTGACAGAGCAAAACTCTGTCTCAAAAAAAAAAGGCACTAATCTCATTCATGAGGGCTCAGCCCTCATGACCTCATGACCTCAAAGGCCCTATCTTCTAACACCATCACCTTGGGGCTTAGGATTTCAACATATAAGGTTTTTGAGGGTACGGAAACATTCAGACCATAGCACATCCCAAGGAGACAAATCCTTCTGACAGATTATAGGCCATTTGAAACCTTGCTAAGTCAGTAACTAAGACACAATTAAGAGGACTCCTAGTTGACATTGGCTTTTTCAGGCAGTGGGCTCCCAAGAGTGTGTAGAAGTCAAGGGAAAGCTTCCCCTCTGCCTTCTACATTTTCACTGAAAATTAACTTACAATAAGCAGATTAATAGGAGAAAAAGGCATGCAAAACTTATTAACATGCATATGGAAACAGGAGCCATATATAAAATATGAGACTAGAAGAGGAGCCAGATAGTTGAGGCTTATATAGGTTTATGGAGGCAGATACTATTTTGTAAATGAGACTATTTTGTAGATGAGACCAAGAGTTGCAAGCTATGGGAAGGTGAGGGACAGAATGGCACAGAAACAAAGCTTGTCTCATTATGCAGATAAAGTCTTCCACATAATCCCTGGGTCCCGCCCTCAGATGAATACACGAAAAGCCTCTCTGGGTGTGGTGATTCCTCGTAGCTTCTCCTCTCTAGGTGGCTAATTTTTCCTGGTTATTTGATGAGATTCCTGGGGAGGGGTTAAGTCAATTGCAATTTTTTTTTTCTTTTTTTTTTTGAGACAGGGTCTCACTCAGTCACCCAGGCTAGAGTGCAGTGGCATGATCTCGGCTCACTGCAACCTCTGCCTCCCAGGTTCAAGAGATTCTCCTGCCTCAGTCTCCCAAGTAGCTGGGATTACAGGCAAGTGTCACCATGCCTAGCTAATTTTTGTATTTTCAGTAGAGACGGGGTTTCAGTAGAGATGTTGGCCAGGCTGGGACAACGGCATTTCTGTTGGAAGAAGTTTTCTTAGTCCCATACGAAAATTCCAGAGGAGAATCCCTCTTGGTGCTTTGGGAAAGAGAATGAGAGACAGGCAGGTAGCATAGAGATAGACTTTAAAGTCCGCTTCTTCAGTGTAGCATGTTAAAGCACCATATTTTGGGGTATTATTTTCTTTTTCTTCTCTTCTGAGACAGGCTCTTGCTCGGTTGCAATTATAGCTCACTGCAGCCTCGAATTCCTGGGCTCAAGCAATCCTCCCACCTTAGCCTCCCAAGTAGTTGGGACTATAGGTACATACCACCACACCCAGCTAAATTTTTATTTTATTTTTTGTAGATACAGGGTTTCACTATGTTTCCCAGTCTGGTCTTAAACTTTAAACTTCTGGGCTCAAGTAATCATCTTGCCTCAGCCTCCCAAAGTCCTGGCATTACAGGTGTGAGCCATCATTCCTGGCTCAGATATTATTTTCTGAGCTCCAACAAGTGTCTGTTCAAAGAAGCTATATGACTTAACCAGTCTTTGTACAAACCTCTTCTTTGGGAATCTAAACATGAACAAGTCTTTCTTGAGTTAAAAATGAGCCCTTCCTCACACCTGTAATCCCAGCACTTTGGGAGGCAGGGGAGGGCGGATCACGAAGTCACGAGATCAAGACCATCCTGGCTAACACGGTGAAACCTGTCTCTACTAAAAGTACAAAAAATTAGCAGGGCATTGTGGCGGGCGCCTGAAGTCCCAGCTACTCGGGAGGCTGAGGCAGGAGAATGGCGTGAACTCGGGAGTCCGAGGTTGTAGTGAGCCGAGATTGCGCCAGTAAAAAAAAACCTGGGCAAAAAAAAAAAAAAAAAAAAAAAAAAAAAAAAAAACGAGCCCTTTAGCAGCTTTGTTTGGTTTGTCTGACAGTAGCCACAGCAGCTAAACTAGTAGAGACTTCAGCAATTGTTTTTGTTTTTGGAGTCTCCTTTAAATTTCATGGTCCTTCATGCTGTATAATCTTTGTGTTTTTTTTTTTTTTTTTGAGGCGGAGTCTCGCTCTGTCACCCAGGCTGTAGTGCAGTGGCCAGATCTCAGCTCACTGCAAGCTCCACCTCCCGGGTTTACGCCATTCTCCTGCCTCAGCCTCCCGAGTAGCTGGGACTACAGGCGCCCGCCACCTCGCCCGGCTAGATTTTTGTATTTCTTAGTAGAGACGGGGTTTCACCGTGTTAGCCAGGATGGTCTCGATCTCCTGACCTCGTGATCCGCCCGTCTCGGCCTCCCAAAGTGCTGGGATTACAGGCTTGAGCCACCGCGCCCGGCTACTGTATAATCTTTGGTTCTCACTGAATATATACAACATTTCTTAGTAAATAAGCTTATCTCTTATGAAATCCTATTACCTTCTCTGTTACATATTTCTAATCACTGTTATAATCTTGGAAAATCCTATTACTTTCCTTCCATCACTTGAAGAAAAGGAAACTCTTGACTGTCTAACCTGTGTTTGTGAAATATCTGTGCATTAAATAGATTAGAAATTCCTTTAGAAAATCCAGACTTAACCTTGTTTGTTGGTGGGTCATATTTTAACATGAAAACAGAAAAATGTCACTTACGCTACACTGTTAAAAAAATAACTAAATTCACCCCTAGAATATAACCCCTTGCCAGAAGTGGCAGAACTTGTAACCATAATAGATCCA